AGGCATTCTTAGTCTGTGTGAAGGTTTTGTTTCTCGTATGTGTGTTTGATAGGCATCTGAAGAATTTAGTTATGATTGGTACCATTCTAGCGTTAAACCAGCGAAAACAATATTCTATTGGATGGCACTATGCGACTCTTTCTGCTCAATTCTTTTCAGCGACTTGCTTGGGTTGCCAGATCAGTCGGCCTCCTTGGCTGCCTGGGTTGAAATGTATCCCCATCAAAAGTGTGAAGGATTGACCTTGTAGGCTTCTCGATGCTATGGATTGCGATCCACAGCTGACTTACAACTGAGAACACCCCAAGGAGTACTGTGTGGTAGACTAGCATCAATCTTTTATCAATAAAGATGGCAGTGGGTAAGAAAAAATTAGACATTTGTGAGTTTAGTTTGTATTTAGTTGGCATGCATGTTTGCCTTGTAGATTGTTATTTGCCATATTTTATGTAAAACTGTTTGTTGGGAAATTGTGAGGTAGTTGTTTAAATCTTCTTTTGGAAAATTATTAAATTTATCCTTCATAACATGTTAAATTTCTCTATGACTATATCTAAGTTTAAAATTCAACATAGTGTGATGATTTAACATAATGTATTGATTTTAGTTTGATAAAAATTAATTCTCTTCTTTTAAGCTATTCAGATTATCGGATAGAGTGTGATCGATGGGTAATTCGAACTTAAAACAAGAGAGTATAATTGAACATTAGAAAGTATAATTCTGTAATGGGGGTGCCGTGCCTATGTCGTCCTGGATTTTAAGATTCTATCAGTGCAAACATGTCAAACCTAATATAAAAAAGAGACCCTAAAGATTATTAACCAATGTTTGAAATGTGGCAACAACTAAAAATTTCTCCAAAAGAAGAATTCAAGCATCTAAAATATAGGGCAAAACTGTTTTTACAACTCATTTCATCTTAATCACCAGAATTCCGTTAGAACAAACAACATTTTTGAGATATTTTCCTTCCCATTGAACTGTAATACTTAGCCAAGAATGGGGAAGATACGGGCGACATGCTCGAATGGTACACCGTCTGCAGTATTTTTCTTAAGCTCTGGACGGTTGAACTCATTGCTTGGAAGTGTAATGAGTGGGCTCTTAACATGGCCCTTCTCTACAACCCAACCAGAGTTTGCTGTATGGTGCTCAACAAACTTGTCAAAGACAGACCTTCTATGTTGATGGCCTGTATGATACCAAGGCAAAAGTACAGACGAGTATTTTATGATTAAACTCAAATAAAACGTTTCATATGGTGTAAGCATGAAATGTATGTCCATGAGAGAGAGAGAGAGAGAGAGAGAGAGAGAGAGCAGAATTGCGAAACAACAAGTGAAGTTTTAAAACACAAGATTAAACACCAAATCTACCACCGATGCAAAAGCAATAATGCATGTGGTGGAATTTGAATCCAAGACAAACTTTAACAGGGATCAGGGAATATCTAAGCACCAGATGCCATAAGCTAGGTAATTCTTTTTGGTGTAACATCTACAAAGAAAAACTTGCAAAAATCTGCAGTCACATTACTGAAATAAAAGAACAACTGGAAAATTCATAAAGCAATTTTCAGAAGCGAACCATACCTCAGCAAGGACAGACCTTGGAACTTTTTGGTAAGTCAAGGAGAGGACATGAATTGCATATGCTTGAATTGCTTGTTCAAAACCTGCAGTTGCGTCCTCATTAACAGGAGTATACAGACAACCAAAAGCTTACATTGCAGAAGTAAAATATAAGAGCCAGAAGCAAGCTGGGGAAGAGGCAACAGAATACAGAATGTGAAAAACAGCAAGACAGATTATTAAGATGATTCCAGCAGTTTGAGACTCGTAACCATGTACTGCTTTGCATACTCATTAAATGAAACCACCAACCATAGACTTACATGCTACAACTTACATAGACATTATGACATACCTGGCACAACTTCTAACAAATGCCGACTCTTAGCAGCTTCATCCCAGAACTGACGGAATCTTGCAGTCTGCAGCAGAATATGAATCAAAATTCTGATCTATAATCTGTTTAATAAAAAATATATGCCAGGGTCTGAGGTAAAAGTGTACCTCCAAATAGTGCGAAAGCACAATTAACGTCTTGAACTGTTCCTCCATTTGCTGCCAATTCAGATGAGATGAGTTGATGATCAAATAAAACTGTTTAGAAAAAGATAGTCTATTTCCAGAACAGCAACCACCTCATGCATAGTTTAGACTCCTGCATAAAGAGCCTGAAATAATTCCGATGACAAGTATTTTATTCAATTACTAATTTCTTCAACAAAGTTTGACCACAAATGTGCTGCAAAAGGCGTATGCCACGATTTCCTAAATAAAAGGGCTGTTCAAAGCCTGCCAGCTACAGGAGATTTATATAACAATCTTAGCTACTAGCATACCAAGCCAAGATCACGTAATAGAGATTTTCTAACCTCCCCACGAAATTGGCACCTAGCAGTTTCAAGTGGAAATTGTCCACCTAGAAGCCAAATTAGTTTGCATTGTTAAGCAAGAAAGTCCCAATTAAACTCATCTGCACGGAGCCACTCAGCCTAAACCCCTTCCCTCCCACTTAACCCCAACATATACCCCAGGACCATCCATCCAACCACGCAGAGATACAAGCAAAAGCTTCTCATTTCAATCATCAAGACTAACCGTCCCACTTCAAAACGAGGAGCAACATAAGATGCTACCATCCTAACTTTACAATTATTGAAGCATCTTCTTATGTTTAAGGGCCTTAACACTGATATAATTCTTTTTGTTTCTTACTAGTCGATTTTCTCATTGTTCACTGAACCATTTTTGAAACAAGTTTCAACTAGAACTTTGAATAAGTGGACAATCCCTGTACATGATGGGAAATGCCTTGGCTGCACATGATAAGTAGACAACCCAGGTATCAATGGAATAATACAACAATAAAAGATTACAGAGCAAATTAACAGCAAAGAGAACTGGAACAAACGAGCTAGAGATAACTTGCCTCACTAGATCTCACAAAAGGAAGAACTAGAACCGACTTGAAAGTAACTTGTAAACCAAATATTTAGCTGGAACAACAAAAAAAGCAAATACACCAGAAATAAAATTTAATTGGAAGACTTTCTCATAATTGTAAAGCTTCAACTTTTCCCGATTACTTTTGACACGTGACCTTCTTCAATCAACACAATTCCTTCATACAGCAATAAGAGAATGACTACTTTCATAAACCCAAAGAATAAAAGAAACCAACATTAACATTGTTTACAACAGCTTCCATATTCTCTTTCCCAACTCGACAAAGTTGCAAAAAGAAAAAGAACGTGCCAAAAAAAAAAAAAAGATAAAGTCTATCAAAAGGTACCACTCGCTCAGGAATTAAGAAGAGACAAAGGCTGAAATCAGGAGCCGGCATTGCCATAAGTGCCTGTTCATTATTACAAAGTTCAACGATATTAGATAAATGATTAGTTGACCAAAACTATGAAATTTGAAATAAAACAAAAGGTTAATAGTTTTCTAACTTTTTTTTACCTTAACCAAAATGCGAGCAACAATCTGAGTACTCATTCGCTCCGGCTCAAACTACAAAATCCGCAAAAAAGAAACCGTTTTTAATAACATTAAAAGTAGTTCATTTTTCATGATTCTAAAATCACTTCAGCATTATTACAATATAAAAATCAAATATTAAAGACCAATTGCAGCGGTAGGCTAACCTGATAGAGGCGGAGAAGGCAGAGGTTAGCATCCAAGTTGTACGTTTGGGAAGATACCTAAAAATACATGTTTTTATAGTTTCAACATTCAAAATAAACCTTAGTTATTGGATTAAATAAAGATAAGAATTTTTTTCCCTTATTCATCATCATCAGAAAACAAAAGAAAAAAAGGAGAACCTGCTCATTGACGAAGTTTTCGAGATCGGGGAGAATGTCAGGGTTGTAAGGATTGACGGCGACGAGCTGCTCCACCGTGTACGACATCCCCGCCGACGACGAAGAGGAGGATTTTTGTCCGCCGCTGCTAATTTCTCTTCCCATGAAATATCAAGATGGTCGGAGGAGGTGTATAATACGACGTAGTTCAGCAGGTAATCTTACGTCCGAAGTTTGCACTGCGGGTAGCGTTCAAGAGGTTTTAGGGCAGCTGCTGATAACATAACACTGGGGACATATTTAACTTGCTGAAAAGACTCATTTGCCCTTCACTTTTTTCCAATATATACTGCGTCTCTCTTCTTCTTTTCTTTTTTTTTTTACTTTCTTTTTCTCTACAAAACAAACAAAAAAAAAGGAGGATGAATATTGAATATATTCCAGTACTGAAAAAAGATTAGTAGTAAATTATTATAGATAAGATTAGTTTTGGTTTACCCTTTATCAGTGAGTTGTATGATCAATAATTGATTAATCGATTAAACATCTAATTTTATAATTACACACATTCCAAGTTTATGAACAAATGACACCTTCAAACGAGTTTTTGAATCTTAATTGTTTAACCATGTCTTATAGCTCACATTTTTTATGAGTGGGACAACTATATATATATATATATTTTTTTTTTCTTCCCCCTTTTTTATTCCAGTAGACATTATTGTCCCTCATTTGAAAGGAGATGCGCCTCTTTTCAGGTCATGGTTTTTTTTACTGGTTTAACCAGGCAAAGCAGCACATCATCTTCACGCCTTTGCGCTGTCAAGGAACTCTTTAGTCCAGAGTCCAAACAACATCTGGAGCTATCCCGTACTTGGGAGTAAAGTCACTTGAAGGCTCAACTATGTGATGATCATTCCACAAAAAACAGACACTTGAGCCCAAGAAAAGAAGAAAAACGGGCATTTTTCAAGCACTCGTTTCTGTTCTGGAAACGGGCTTTCTTCATTCATCTATTTTGAACTGTTACCGCTACAAAAGCTGGAGTTAAGACCATACAGACAGATAGACAGGCAGACATTCTATACAAACGGTTGGTCAGAGCTATGATCTCAGAAACTTGAGTGGAATTCGAAGCACTAATAACAGGTTGGTGATTACAAGTGCAAGAGATTGGATATCAAGTTCCAACCGATCCAAGTCTTTTTGTCACAAGGGGAGACAAAATTGAGCTCAAACATCTCCTTGGAGACATGCTCACCAGTTTCGCAGAACCCCACGAGTTTTGCAACAATTTCAGCACTTTCCTTTATATGTTGCATATTCAGAGGGTCCATCCACAGTTTATTTACAAGTTGCAGCCTCCTCTTTGTTTTGCCTTTCCCTTCTGGTGGGATGTTCCATTTCAAGTATAGCATTTCCCTTTCTTCTGGAGTCAGCTTTGTACTCACCCTCTTTGCTAGATATTCCCTCTCTTGCTTAAGGGCCTTGATGCTGCATTTCAAAGCAAGTAATAGAGCACTTAGACAAGAAAAAATCAACTAGAAAAGGTATAAAACTACACCACTTGCATGCCCGCATGTATAGTAGTCAATCTGAAACGCTTCTAACATACCTTGATGACACAAAGCTTGCAGGATCATCACCTAAAAGTGCTGGACTTGCATTACCAAGATCTGCCAAATGCTGCTCCAACCATGTCAACCTTCTAAGTTCAACTTCCATATATATCTGATCTGAAGGATCCCCTTTAAACAGCAAATAAAATTGAGTGCGGTGTATGATTGACACATGGCATAAATGCCACAACATGACAATTTGCTTCCTTCGTTCTTCAAACATTGATTGCCATGAGATGCTAGATTCTTCAATATTATCGGGTCCATCAGATGCAGCTTCATTTGCCTCCAGCTCTAACACCTAATACAAATATGGTAAAAAGTGACCATAGAAAGATAAGAAACTCATTCAGTGAAGAATGCAATACCCAAAAGAAAGAGACTGGGAGCGGAGAAAAATGATTCAGATTCCAAAGCTCAGATACTAATACTTATGGCAGATGCTGCTGCCAATGATATTAAAATGGTACCAAACATTTGTTCAAAGAACAACTGAAAAACAAAATACACCACGTGCCCGCAGCTATTAAAGGCTTGCTTTTTTCTCAAGCCCATACAACATTATGATACAATAAAATTTCATGGCAGACCATTTCAAACTCAAGTACTTTTATCATTACCAGCTTTATCCTAATATATCCATGTTTATGTATAAACAAGAAATGGGAAGTTGAATGGTTCAACATGTTCTCATACCAGTTGAGTCATTTTCCGCCGCTCTTAAGTTCATATAAATAAGAACCTCATTTAACCAAAAGAGAAGAAGAACAGCCTGAAGTTAATAAATCTTACCTGGCAAACCAGAAGCTGTTTCTGGTATTGCAGCTTTGCGACACGTTCTTTAAGCCCTGTGACGTAAGTTCGTATACTCCGGATGTGCTCCTCAGTCGCTTTCTTGAACATCTTTTCCATTTTCTTCACACCAACAGAGGTTGAATGCTTTGGTGCAGGGGTAGTCTCTGCTGATGAGATATTGTTAGCTTCGTGATTTCTACGAGGAGTGCTCTCTCGAAGGTAGAAGCCATCACTACCAGATGAAAGATTGTTAGCCTCTGGGGCTCTATTTTCAATCCCTGGTTCCACAGGTGAGCATGGAGATCTTATCATGTTTGGCATGTTAGGTGAATTGCTCAGTGTAAATGGAAGACCTTTTTTCTTTTTGGCTGAAGTCCTCAAATCAGGAGTCCCCTTTCCACTTGGAAAACACGTCACTAATTTATCTAGGGATCTCTGAACATTCTCAAGCTTTTCTTCTAGAGATGCAATATTAGTCTCCTGAGTGTTCAATCGGGCAATCTCTTCTTTCAAGCTACCTTTGTCTTTAATCTCAATAGTTTCGGGAACTAAACCGATAGCCTGCATCTCCTTAATTTCTACAAGCAGCTTTGCCAGAGCTTCATTAGCATCTTGACTACCAATTCTGTGAGAAGCAACCTCCTTGTGAAGTAAATCAAGTGCACGGTTCGCTTCCTCACCAAGCTGCCTCTGGCTCATCTCAATTTTTCGAATCTCATGCACCAGCATGGATGAAGAAGTAGCTGACTGTCTAACCAGTGATTGCCTTCCAGTTAAGTTCCTGGGCTGGATTTTTGGAAGAGGCCCTCCAGAAACTGACTCGTTCTCAGAAGTATAAGAAAGACATTTAACTACACGACGAGACGGACCGTGCTGATTTGATCCCTTTGGTTCCTTGTGTGCTTTTCTTTCTAATTCAAGCTGGGATTCTGCAATGTCCCTTTGGCGTTTCAGCTCATTCATTTCTATCTCCATCTGCATTTAAAACTTTTGCTATTAAAACTTGTGCCTTCATTCAAGTGTATGTATATAGCACATTCCTAAATGCACCACTAACATTGGGTGTCATGCAATCAATCTGAGAAACAGAAGTGAAACAATAATTTGACCAAAAACCATCTGAAAGTGTCTTGGTTTACTGCACATTAGCATTAACATCTACCCAAAGAGCTCTTTGTAGTCTACCTGCTGGATTTTCATTTCCTTCTCAATTAGTAAGGACCTTAAAGACGAGGAGCCACATGGTTCAGGACTTCGGAGCTCTGCTTCAAGTCTTGCCACCTCCTTCTTCAAATGCTTCAATAATTGTTTTTCTGCAACAACCTAGAAAAGTGGAAATAAATTTCAAACTAAGGACTTTTATCATATTGATGGCTCATTGTGCTTGAACCAAATAAATATGCCACGCTTCCCAGCAGTGCAAACAATCCTTCTACTCAGCAAGATAAAGAGAGTATGCATGAAAGAATCTTCATTTACAGAAGGCATAATGCTAGAATGGTCCGTGAATTTTCAAGATATTTCAGTTTAGCAAATGGACTAATCGTCCCCAACTTTCCAATAGTGTACTAGAATAGTGCAAAGATGAACAAGAATATCCATGAAAGGATATTGATATCCATGAAAGAGAATAGTACAAAGGTATTGATATACAGAAGAGAGTATCCAATAGTGTACTAGAATAGTGCAAAGATGAAAGAGAATATCCATGAAATGATATTGATATACAGAAGGCATAATACCAGAATAGCTGTGACTTTTCAAGATATTTCAGTTTGTCAACTGAACTAATTCATCCCCAAGTTTTCTAGTGTAATATATTAGTTCATAAGAGTGTGGCCATCTGCATTTCCTTTGCAGCCAATCAAACCAAACTCAAGAGTCAATTAACAAAGTAAATAAGTCAAACTCAGTCCTTAGGGTAAATATTCCCACTCAATTAGATATCTAACATGGTAAAGCTGAAAGTTCATTTATCTATTTAATATTTTCATTGGAAGTTGCACTTTCAGTTCGTGTTATAAGAATTCAGTTTTTGAAGATAGAAGAACCTACTTATTTCTACTTCATTTCATTGATCAAAATAAACTTGAGCTGGCATGGTTAGATCCTGCTGGAAAAAATGATAGAAATACACAGTGAAATCCATGTGATCAGTTATTCAAATTCAAGGTTCCATCCGGAGTAGAATTAGATTCCACAAGAAGTTGGGACAATTTTGATAATACTGCCTCGTCAAAATTGAAAAATGTTCCTTTTGTAAGCAATTGGTTAAACATGAAATTCTGTTTAGTAACAAGTCATTCTTTTAGTGGAAGTTTTACAAACTTTTGACCATATTTGACAAACAAACAACGTCATAATATGCAACACAGTGGTGAATCATTTAAACCAAAATTTTTTGCTAACATACCAGATTCACATGTGCATTATTTGTAACTTCTTTTGCACTTGTCGCAAAGGAGAGTGTATTCCGTGATTGCTCCACATGACCCAGAGCAGGACTCATGTACAAATTATTGCTGTTCGTGCATTTCCCCCAACTGAAGACTGTAATATTCTTGTGAGTTTTGAATCCCTGTATGGGATGTGACCAATCCTCTTGCCACCACTGCACATAGCAAAATAAAGATTATATTCATTTGTTGCCTTTGTACTTATCTAGCTCTATGATTCTAAAATCAGCATAAAAGAATGCCTAGACTCATCATATCAGCAAGAGAAATAGCTTGATATGTTTGAAAAACTCTTATCAGCTAACCAACAAGATCATACAGAGAACTTTCAAATCAAAAGGCTAAACTACCAGTATTTCCTATCCCTGAGCTGCTACCTTAGCTTTCTAATTACAGTTGTCAAAGTCAGCAGGCTTCTATTAATATGGCTCCCTTCCTTGAACCTTGTACCATCTGCATTTGTTTGAGAAGCACGTTCACTTCCAGCAAGATCAACTAGATACTGCAAGGAAAAAGAGTTTGAAGTGAGATATGTGCAGCGATATACCCCAAAGAAAGTTCCGAATCAAGGGAAAGAGATGCATACCAGACACAAGTAGTAGTTGGTAGGAATATGTATCTCTCAGGCAAGGCAACTCATTTTTCTTTTACTTTTTTTTTATATTTTAATTTTTGGTTTGACCTTGGGATAAGCATAAGATAAGCCTAATCTCTATCTGATTTTTTTTTTTTTTGGTGGTTATATTGGAAAAAAACAGCTAATAATGCTGAGTGCTTCTGCGAATAAGTTGTCCACATTGAAAGAACGTGCCGAAGAGTATGCTGATTTAATAATGGAAGAATTAGACCCAGAAAATCTCGGTTACATTGAGGTATTAATTAAATTAAACAGCTACCTCTAATTCTTTTGTCGGGTTTCTCGTATCTCACCCTTTCAATTATCGGGATTGCCTCCCCTAATTGTCTTGTCCAAACAAGATCCCTGTTTAAACCATTTCGACATGTACACGTACTTAAATAGTAGTGAAAGAAGAAGATCCATCATCAATCTTGATGCTAAACAGCTCAGCTAGATTTTTTCTCTCTTTTTTGTTTTTTTCCCAAATGACGATACATAAACAAACCTTGGCCCTCAGCCCCAAAGTCTTAAAGATAAATGAAAAGACAGCTGAATTGGCCGGCCGTCTCTAACAACACCAGTGACATGAGTTGTCTAATCTTTTGTTAATTTTACAGTGTGCTTCCGTGTCCATAGCCATCGTTGCCCACTACAAAGCCATACAATTTTTTTGCAAAAAATGAAGCTACAAACTCAGAAAAAAATATATACATTTGTCAGTCCTTGGCTGCCTTTGACAGTAACTCAAAATTCAAAATTTTCACTTAACAATTTCATTTCGGTTCGCATTAACTCGTATTTTATCTATTTATTGCACTTGCACCCCAAAAAAAAAAAAAAGAAGAAAGAAAGAATAACTATCAAATAAAGGCCGAAGGCATGTCCAAAAGGTTTAGACAAAGAAATCTTGTTTGGAAAGACATAGAAGGGAGAAAATTCCCCTTGTTTTTTTTTCGTCGCTCAGTTGTGGCAATTGGAAACACTGCTTCTACAAAGGGACGCATACATGAACTACAGCAGGCCTCTGAGCCAAGCAAGTGTAGGATGGAGTCAGAATTTAGGCAACTTTCGGCCCAAAGATGCTGTGCGGAGGCTAAGATGCGCGCTGAAATGCCTCTTACTGGAGAACTGGCAAAGGGGTTGGATCTTGCTGCTGTGGCTGATGGCCATGGCCGGACTGTTTACATGGAAGTTCTTGCAGTACAGGCGAAAGGCAGCATTTCAAGTAATGGGTTACTGCTTGACAACTGCCAAAGGGGCTGCAGAGACTCTGAAGCTCAACATGGCTCTCATTCTCTTGCCGGTGTGTCGCAATATCTTGACCTGGCTTAGATCTACAAGAGCAAGGCTATTCATTCCCTTCGATGACAACCTTAATTTCCATCAGGTGAGACATAAATACTCTTCCGCTAAATTTGTGCTCGAGTCCAGAGTCTTTTTGTGATGGATAAGTTCATGCATGCGCAACCGTAAATTCTAATGTAACAGTTGAAAAGATGCAGAGAACGATTTTTTTTTTTTTTTCTCAACTACATTATTTTTAATCTGCAGATAATAGCGGGCGCCATAGCTATTGGAGTCGTGATCCATGCAGGGAACCACATGGTTTGTGATTTCCCCCGCCTTGTTAACTCACCCCCCGAAAAGTTTGCAGTTATAGCTGCAGATTTCAATAACGTAAAACCCACCTACAAAAGCCTTTTGACCGGAGTGGTAGGGTTGTCTGGAATCGGCATGGTGATTTTGATGACAATAGCATTCACCCTAGCCACGCGACTCTTCCGGAAGAATGTGGTGAAGCTGCCATTTCCATTTAACAGATTGACGGGATTCAATGCATTCTGGTATTCTCATCATCTTCTAGCTCTGGTCTACATATTGTTTCTGATACACGGATCCTTCCTGTTCCTCGTCCACAAATGGTACCAGAAATCGGTGAGAACATTCAACACGCGAATGGACTTTGAAAAACTCATCGTGTCAATTCAAAATTTTAATTGCATAATGAATTCTAAAATGTCGCAGACATGGATGTACATTTCTGTTCCCCTCTTGCTCTATGTAGCAGAAAGAAGCCTGAGAACGTGTCGGTCAGGACATTATGCAGTTAAAATCCTGAAGGTAACTCTCTCGGACAACAGTAGTAGTTTTCCTTTCTGTCAAATTCTTGGGTGGACCCACACACGCCTACCCAAGTCCCCAAATCCTACCTTGTATTACATCAGCATGCACCACATTGCTGATGATGATTTGGTCACTTGGGTGGCTACAAATCTACCTGAGAATTTCCTTCTCATCCAAGCTGCTGCTGTTAAGGTGACCTTGGCATTTACAGGTTTCTGTGCTCCCCGGAGATGTTTTCAGCTTGATCATTTCAAAACCCAATGGATTCAAATACAAAAGCGGGCAGTATATATTCTTGAAGTGCCCAACAATCTCCCCATTTGAATGGTAAGTTTGTGCATTCTTTCTTAGAGGAATGTGTACGACCACTCAAAGCATTAAGCATGTACATTGACATTTGTCCAGGCATCCATTTTCAATAACTTCAGCTCCTGGGGATGACAACCTCAGCCTTCATATTCGTACGGTTGGAGACTGGACGCTAGAACTAAAGCGAGTGTTTACAGACGTTAATGCTTCATCAACAGCCATTGGTCGAGCCAAGTTTGGAGAACTAGGGAATATAGACAAAAATGGGTAACTTACCTGAAGCGAATAACAGAATCAAAGTCCATTTTCATTATAATTAACTATGGGAAGGTTGATATAACATGAATTGTTGATACAGTTTACCACGACTGCTTGTTGACGGACCATATGGCGCTCCAGCACAGGATTACCAGAACTATGATGTGTTACTTTTGGTTGGATTAGGAATTGGAGCCACACCTTTTATAAGTATTCTCAGGGATCTACTCAACAACACAAAAACGGAAGATCATGGGGTACAGATGAACCTGCAGAGCTCTCTCTCTCTCTCTAACCAATGATGATAAATTCCTAAAACTTATGGTATCTATTCTCTCACTCTGGATAGGATTCAACAACAGAAACCAGCACTTCAGATGAGAGTATGACTAGTATTGGCTCTTCCAGCACAACATCAAGCGCAAAGAAGAAACCACAGAGAGCTAAAAGTGCACACTTCTATTGGGTTACAAGGGAGCCTGGATCCTTCGAGTGGTTTAAAGGAGTAATGCATGAAGTTGCAGAGATGGATCATAAAGTAAAGCAGATCTAATTCTAAAAGGAAATCTGTGAATGCAGTTATAATTTCACATATTATAATTAAAATCCTGATAGACTTGCTGACTCTTATGCTGAAACAGGGACAGATTGAGATGCATAATTATCTTACCAGTGTTTATGAAGAGGGTGACGCGAGGTCAACTCTCATCACCATGATCCAAGCACTTAACCATGCCAAACATGGGGTGGACATCCTCTCTGGCACCAAAGTACGACACAGATACTATACTAGTATTACATAAGCAACCTAATGTAACCAAGGTCTTTTCAAGCAATAGCATCTAGTTACGGTAGAAGGCACATCAGTGTTTAACACAATTTAGTTCCAAAACTGAAGAAATTTGTTCCAAAATTTTTGCAGGTAAGGACACATTTTGCACGACCAAATTGGAGAGAAGTGTTCAAAAGAATAGCCATGAAGCATCCATATTCTACAGTAGGTAAAGAAACTAAGAAATCCAGAACTAACAACTTATATGCATTCTGTCATCATTTACAAGCTGCATGCTGATCAGGATCATAGGTTGACAAAAACAGTCGTTCCCTTTCAATACCATCAAATGGCTAAGCTACACTTCAGTAGGTCATTGCAACAATAACCAGATAATATCCTCAAAATATTTCCAAAAACCAGGAACTTAGAGCAATGACTGAAAGAGATAACATTTAATCCTAAAGAAAAGTTTACGAATGTTGGAATATCTATTATTGTTTTTAAACAAATTTATAGAGATCTAGGAACACACCATGTGTTTCTTGAAGTTAGTCCTATATAATTCAACCACCAGCTGCATACAATAACCTATACTAGGTGGTAAACCTAAAATGCCAGATATACTTCCTCATTTAAGAGCAAGATGGGATTGAAAGATTATTTATGGACATACCATGAGAGGTTTTTTGCAACTAATATTATGAAGTAAGCATATCATATTTGCTGAAGAAAAAGGCCGTATCACTTTGCAGGAGTGTTCTACTGTGGGATGCCTGTCCTGGCCAAGGAGCTGAAAAATCTATCACATGAGTTAACTTACAAGACATCGACACGGTTTGAGTTCCACAAGGAGTATTTTTGAAGCAGAGAAAGTTCAGTCAAGCACATGAAGAAGTTTTACCCTTTCTGTAATTATACAAATTAAACAAGACGGAGTATTATACAAATTACATGGAAAAATGTAAATACACAGCATACAGTTAGAGTAGTCAAATTTTCTTAGAGTTTCCAGAAGGAAGAAGAAAATTTTGATGCTTCTGTGTACTTGAATAATGGATGGCATATCTCTTGATATCAATTGCTATCTGACAAGCCATATTTCAGAGATAATCTCCTCTTTCATTTACAAATACAAGAAGAGGAAATAGATTTTTGATAGAGAAGTAATTTTCACCTGGTCAGACAAACATCATCAACTTACAAAATAAGAAATTGACAGGAACTCACCTAAGATGGGATCCTGAGTTGCCTCCACAGCAAGTGCTTAAAATTAATGTGGAGCAGGTTTTCATTCCCTTCTCCTCCTTAATTTCTTTTTTCATGTACTCCAAAAACCCTTGCTTAAACAAGAAGGCTGCAGGATCAATTTAAAGATGATATCTGGCAAAATCCTCTTCACATGTTTATAAAGCACTACACCTTATGTGATAACAAAGGTACAAAGCTACTATTTAAACAAAAGAGTTGATAAAGCATTGGAAGACGAAATATTACAAAGTTGAGCACGCTGAGGTCTGCAGAATAAATGAACCATTATGTGAAAATTTTTTAATATATAGAAGTACAGAAAAACAGACTCTTGAGTCACTTGGAATTTTGTACGGCCAACTCATATTAGTAACAGAGCATGGGCAAAGGTATGTAAAAGTAAACATGTAACTTCTATCAAGGGAGAAAATCCAATAGCCCCAACAGCTTCATTCTTTGTGGAATATGCAAAACTTCTTGTACCTCAATTGCCCTTTGTTAGTAACTACAATCTTGTGCCATATGTAGCAATGGTAAGCTCAAAATTCTTGTCATTATGCACTATGGATTCATTCATCTTTCAACCCCCTAAGAAGTTTGGATGCCCAGCGCCGGACACGCCGCTTGAGGGTGTAGCCAACAAATACTCCAGCAACAAAGAAAACGGCACAAAGCTTTGAGCAAGTCAACAGTGACACTACCTTTCTGCATCAAGAGATAAGCAGGTCGAAAGAGCTCCGTCAAAAACTAATCATGAATGAAAAAAAATCAATAAAATTATAAAGGTTTGACAGTCACATAGTCATATAAGATGCGCATCTTATCTTTAATTAGAGATTTCTGTGGGAAAGACTTTTAATTGGCACTTGATTTCATTAGACAAACACATCATCACATGTATTCAGGGTGGATGAGTTTCTTTGACCTGAACACTGGCTAATAACAGCATCAAAGTCAAAAACCCCTAAGAGCACTACTAAATCCATGGCATTTTCCCCACAAAACCCACACCCACAACCATGCCCACTTCTCTTGCACTAGACAGAGGAATGGAGTGCATGACACGAAATACTAATCAGTAGTTGGAGGTAATGGTCGACCAATGCAAGTAAAGAAGTGGACAATTGAATCCCAGGAGACCGTCTTCATCTATTATGTAGAAATGCAACAATCTGCAAATAGCCCCCGAAGCATTCTAAATTAGACCCAACATAACAGTATAACATACATCACTTGTGGAAAATCCCCTATATCATATAGGCATCCGAAAGGGTAAGTTGCATGCACAATATCTTGTACAGAGTTTCTAAGAAACTATTAATGCAGTAATTTTTAGATAAACATGCCTGTGACGCATAAAAAGGTAATTGAATAACTTATCAGAAAAAATCATTTCGCAGAAAAAGGACCCAAATCCAAATGTACTTCTCAAAAACGGTCTAGAGTATTGTTTGTCATACAAAAATTATTTGAAACGCAAATGCGTTGGCTTTTATGCTTTAGATTGCTATTGTGTATCTTACTAATAAATGGGTTATCGCTCGGTGAAAATATGTTATAATCGTTATATCTCTTAATCGTTTGGATTTGGATATAAATTTGCTTCTAGCGAGGTAAGAGACTGGTGGCGAAAACAATACATGACATTATAATTAAAAAAATCAGAAAATGAATGGAAAATGGAAAAAAGAAAGAAGGGTTCGAGGGTAATTGGCGTACCCGGACTGTCTGGTGAGCAAGAGCTGAGGGGGATCAGCTAGGATGGAATTGGACGGAGTGGCAGTAGTGGCAGCAGCAGAGAAGTTGTTGAAGGAGGCTTTAGCTTTCTCGAAGGTGGAAGAAAGAGCGGTGGCGAGGTCGTCTGAGCTGTCTTTTGATTGAGACATGGCGGTACGAACAGATTTCTGGAACCCCTCCATCCCGATTTTGGTCAACTATCTGCCAAGTTCTTTCTCAATTTCGTTCGCTTCTTCCCATTGTGGCGGGACTTGGGTTATAGGGTTTTCCGGTCAGGATTTTTTTTTTGTTTGGGGTTGGGGGGGCGGGGGGGGGATTGCACAGTACCCCCTTACATTCTTTTAAATGAGTTTTTGTGTCCCTCACGCTTAGAGACCTCTCTCTGCAGGTCTTAGGTTTTTTTTTTTTTTTTTTTTTTGGGAGGGGGGAGAGAGTGGTGGGGGGAAGTTTGATGGAGTTACGAAAGACATTAAGAAAAAAAAAATGGAATTTGAATGAGGAGGTCAACCCCGCCTTGCTTTGAATACATTCAATTAAAGTTATTAATGCAGTTGGATCAGTCTAAATCCAATTCGTTTGATCCAAAACAAGTTTATTGAACCTAAATTTGAATTAGATCGAGCAGAATTTAGACCAGTCTCAATTAAATGTGAGCCAAAATTGGATCATATCGAGCTCCGACCCAATTAAGACCCAACCTATATATGAATATAATTATATATACAATATATAATAATATCTATAATTTACAATTATATATATTATGACGCAAAATTTTAATAATTTATATATACATTTATAGTAATTCATAATTATAAAATATATATTACATATAAATATGTATTTAATTATAAGTATGGCCAAGATCGATTTGAACCCAAAATTCATATAATAGTGTGGCTGAATTTGAGCATTTTGATTTGAGTCCAAAATCCAAAACCCAATTGACACCCTACATTTAGCTCGGCACCAGCCATTTCCTTTGTTGTTTCTTTTTTTCCTTCTTTTATTTTCTTCTTTTTTTGGCCCATTTTTCTCTTTTTTTTTTTTTTTTTTTGTAGGCAGGGGATGATGGTTGGGGACAACGGGAGCACTTTTACCTTCCGTCTTGTCTATTATTTTTTTTTTTTTGTCTTAGAGACTTTGTGCTGGAGGTCGTCAAATTTGAATTACATAACACACACACACACATATATATATATAGAGATTTGGTTGGTGAACTCAAAGTGTTCGCATGTAATCATTGACATCATGGGTAGTCCGTGTAAGGGATTTCTGTTGGGCTCTGCGAGAGCCAAACTCTGGGAGAATTTAACCATGAGTTAGAATGGGAATCACAACCATGGGTTTGACACCATATCCAACCCAAAACCTTAAGATATTGGGTCTATGGATCATTGCCACTTATATGTTCCTCATTCTACTCATCTCTTTCCGATGTGGGATATTGATTCACACTTGATATCCCAACAATCTCCCCCTCAATTATGAATCTCTTCCACATCGGACCTCTCTCCCTAGTCCATCCACTCCATCAAGCCCACTTCAATCTGGAGTGTATGATTCTTGCTCAAGAGCCCACATGCCCTTGCCTCACTGCAGGTCTACATGATTCTTTTTTTTTCCCCGCTCTTATCCAAACCACGCCTTATCACTCCCATTGACTTTTTATCCTGGAGTCAATGCCCAACCGAACCATCGGCTCTAATGCCACTTGTTGGGCTCTGAAAGAGCCAAACTTTGGGAGAATTTAACCATGAGCGAGAATAGGAACCACAACCATGGGTATGACACCACATCCAACCCAAAACCTTAAGGCATTAGGTCTATGGATTATTCCCACTTGTATGTTCCTCATTCTACTCATCTCTTTCCGATGTGGGATATTGATTCACACTTGATATCCCAACAATTTCCACATATTACAAGAAGATGTTTTCCAATTTGCTCTCTCGCGTGATGCTCACCATTTCGGATGTTTTCAGCAGGATTGTTAGTCTTGAATTTCTCTATTATTGGCTATTATTCTTTTATCCCAATCAATATTTTCTTGTGATGAAATTTAGAACCATTAGGGATTAATTCTCGAAAAAGAGTGCAAACGAAAGATGAGAGCAAAGAATTTATGGGACGTGGGAGGCTGAAGTTGTCAGCAAACTCCTACCTCGTAGTTTTAACGGTCTGTCCTTAACTCCGGAGTTATTGGTACCTTGCAACGGTAACGCCTACATGTTTTGCTTCTCAAACGTGAAATAGCCAGTTTCTTGCAAATAGTCGTCATAGAAAGATCTACTGTATCATTTTCTGCCTGAACTGCAATTAAATCGTGAACCGGATATAACTACAGTTCGATTCTATATTTAACCCAAAAAGTCAAATGAAATTGGTCAAATTCAATCAAGAACCGGTCGAAATGGTCAAAATCGATCGTTTTTCTTTAAATGTTTATTTTCTTTTTTCATATATTAATTTTATCCAAGTAATTTACTATTAAATTAATTAAAAACTTTAAAATCATTGAATCGGATCTCTTCGCTCTCTTTCTCACATATGTAGTAGTTGTAAAGGAACAATTAGAAGAAAATATTCTCATTCCTTGTATTTTTTTTTCCATTTTTTTCTGAACAACATGTAAACTCTTTGTTCAAAAATTTTTTTTTTACTTTGCGTTTTCTTGCTAATCAAAGAATTTTTGTCTAAAATGCAAAAACCTTGAGTAACTTAAATTTTATGCTTTGGTCTTCGAAATTGGAAAAGCTGTCCTAAAAGAAAATTGAACTCTTAGATTTAACGAAGCTTCCGCGATTATAAATTGAGACATTTCTCAATTTGAGAGATCAAATTAAGGTTTTAGACCATTTCAGAGGACCAAAATGAAATTAACCCAAAACTAGATGCCGTCCTGGTTTGCTGGTTTCGACTGTATTGTTGATCGTACGTTGAGGTCAGCAATCCTCCACGCAAAAAACCAACCCACTCAGCAGCCAAAGCACATTATCAACTGCCATAGGTTCCAGTTCTCAATCACTTCCCCCTTATCTGTTCGGCTTTCTCAAAACAAAAGCGACTCTTGCATTTTGAGTTTAATCACGAAACCAAATTAATCCCTTTTCCCGATAGTTCCATTTTGGAGAGATGGCTTCAATCCCCCTACCAACTGCGAAACACAGTCTTCCTTCTTTACTACATGCTCAAACGCCTAAAACCCTTTTGTCTCAAAAGCTTCCTAATCTTCCCAAATCATTCCAGTCCCAGTTTTGTGGGGTCAAGCTCTCCCATTCATCCAATTTTGCAGTCCCTTCTTCTTTTAAGAAAAGCTCCATTCTTGCTAAGGTACATTACACTTTCCGTATCTCATTGCTGCATTTTTTTTTAAATGTGGGATAATTTGTAATTGCTACTGCTTTAACTTTCTTAAAGGTGTCAAAGGGGTCAGTGGCTCCATCATTTTCATTGAAAGATCAAGACGGTAAGACTGTGAGCTTATCCAAGTTCAAGGGAAAGCCTGTCGTTGTTTATTTCTACCCTGCTGATGAGACCCCTGGTTGCACTAAGCAGGTAATAATACACATTATCATTTCTTACGAGAAATATTCGTGCATCAATTTTTTACTGATTGCACAATTGAGCTACGCGAATTACGTTGTTGAAAGTTTTAGTACAATTTTCAATTTTAAGCCGAGTATCGCTTGTATTAGAATTGAAGATTCTCCACACTTAATGTCAGCTATTTGACATTGCTGCAAATTATTTTTAACATTTTTCCAGTACTAAGTTTGATTAGTTGTTAGGAACAAAGACATGCCATTAGGATAATTAGGATATTCTTGTGATGATACCTAGTTTTGTTTTGGTTTTTCTCCTTTTGAAGCTGCTCAACGTTTCATGCCTAATTGGAAATTGGAGATGTGCATTAGACGAATGAGAGGTGTACTTGTTCCGAAATGTGGCAGACCTAACAATTACCATGAAGTTAATGAAGTTACCCTAGTAGCGCCGTCATAGTTTGGTACAATCCTTGTGTAATTGCCCATTCTGGTCAGATATTAATCCACTGGAGGCCTGAAACAAAACTAATGAATTTGCTCGGGACTTAGAAGAGCATCTATTCCTTGTTGAGATGTTCTTTTCCCTTCTCTGTTGAAACTTCCAAGTTGTACAGATCTGTAAACAGGAGGGATGCCTTGGGGCGCATAAGTTGCCATAAAAATAGTTAGATTGGCCATACAAGATTAACCATGACTCTTAAACTATATTTTGCTCATGCTGCTGCAGGCCTGTGCCTTCAGAGACTCGTATGAAAAATTCAAGAAAGCAGGAGCTGAGGTTATAGGAATTAGTGGAGATGACCCGTCATCACACAAGGTATCAAAGACGTTTCCAGTTGGTTGTGAACCTTATTTTTTGTTCGAAAAAATAGGGTAATGTCTAATATACTCAGAAAGAAACTATTCTAACCAGATAAAGATCATTTAAATTATATCATTTAAATTATTATGCATCACATTTAGGAGATCTTCAAAAGTCATGAAAATTCCAAATTTTTTCATGTCTTTGTTTGCTACTAGCGTGTTTCACTATTCTCTTTCCAATTTCATCTTGTTATGTCCGAAACTTTCTAAAATTGCCTGCATAGACGTTACACAAGATTGCTGTTATGAGTTTTTGTTCTCAACATTGAATTTGTTGACCTATTGTCATACAAGCTTGGGGATATATCCATTTTCTTGTCTTTATGAGAACTGTATCTGCTCAATTAGGCCTTTGCCAAGAAATACAGGCTTCCATTTACCCTTCTAAGCGATGAGGGTAATAAGGTCAGGAAAGATTGGGGAGTTCCAGCTGACCTGTTTGGTACATTGCCTGGTAGACAAACTTATGTTCTTGACAAGAATGGAGTGGTTCAACTCATTTACAATAACCAATTCCAGCCTGAAAAGCACATCGATGAGACCTTGAAGTTTCTTCAAAGTGCCTGAGCATTTCAGAATTTTGAAATTTATGCCTCTTTTGTTCTTTCCCTGCAAAGGAACGTGGTTATGTATGAATGCCATTCTTCTGGGAATTTGATTTTGTAAAGGAAATTCTGTATTACATCTGTATTACATCTGTAGACAAACTTGAATTTAACTTCATATGCAAGTGATTGAGAACTTTGCTGATGCGCATTGCTTGGTTGCTCTATGTTATAGCCATTGAATTATAGCGATTTTCAATTTATTGCAACTATCTGCTATTTTAGAATGTTTGGTACCTGTCAAACTGTCATCTTTCCTTAATTTGCATACAGAAAAGTAATTGATCTCATTGCCTTTGAAGCAGAGAATGATGCAACGTTGATTGTCCTTACAAGATCGCAGATAGAAATAAGTTATTCTCATTTTTAATAAGCTTCATTTGTATACTGATACATTTAAAATCAACCTTCTTGACTCTTATGGTCAGGTTTATAGTACTCCTAGACTCCTCGCAATCTTTATTATGTGGTAAAAGGAACTAATAAAACAATAAATAGAGTTGCCATATGTCTAGGACCGTCCAGATCTTATTTATTAGTCGATGTGCTTTTGCTCTTGATAATCTTGGCTGCAATAAGGGCTGAATGCCTCAGCGAGCCAATTGTTTTTCCTCCATGATTTCCATCCCATCTCTTCACAGATCTCATCTGTGTGGTTGATGCTGAAAGTGGAAATGCAACTTCTCTTGTAAAATCTGGTGGTCTTCCTCATGATCCCCATCTCTTTCTGTGTTTGTTCAAGCATCTGTCCCACGCTTGGAAGCTTGAAATAATTGTCTGCGAGTCTAGACAGCCATTTGCAACGAATCTCAGCTGTGTGCAGGTTTGAAACGCTCTCAATATAACCCACAAATGCCATATTGGGAATCAGTGGATGGATTGTACCCCTGCAATTAATGTAAAATAAATTTCCATCAGTAGTGGCCAACTTCCCAAAGCATTAAGGTCTCTATGGTGGATTGTGAAGTCGCAGTGGCGGCATTTGTTCAATACCTGTATAAGGGCATCATGCCTTCAGTTTCAAGCAGACTGCGAAAAGGCTCAGGGAGGATGTTTCGTAGCTTTCGTTTGCCATCAAAACCGGTAGCAAGAAGCACAACATCAGCCTCCAATTTGGTATTGTCATCAAATTCAACTCCTCCCTCCCAAAAGCACCACTTTGATGCTTTTTTGAAATCAATCATCCCCTTCTCTGCCTCCTCAAACAATTCCTCTGGCAAGATAGCCATTTGGCAGGATCCGTAGTCCTCCACAAACGGATGATCAGGTTTCAATCCGTATTTCTCCAGTGGAAGCCTCCAAACCAAATAAGACTCGATTATCTTTGACATTGCATTTCTCTGTTGAAATCATTATGGATCAGACTGACTAATTAATATCCTGGCAATAAGCTTTGAAAGAAGACAAAGAATTTAAGACTTACCACTGGAGACAATAGCTTGCAAAAGATGTTCCTGAGAATCCCTTGGTTTGGTCTTTCATGGAGGAATTGAGAAGCCCTTGTTGAATAGAACAAGTAAAATGGCAGACCCCAGATAGAATAATGTGGAATTGTCCAATGTAACGTCCTGACCACAATGGTGCATGGTTGTCCGTCAGGCCCTAGAAGAAGTCAAAAGATAGAAAGCGCCAAATTTAGCATTTTCAATATCCAGCAATGACTTGTAAAAGTTTTCTTGCAATGAGTGACTTATTATGTTGTTTGGGATCAAAGTTGACCTGATTTTGTCAATAGTATGTCCCAAACTCAAAAAGAGTGTGCAAGACGTAATATAGAACCAATTATTCCCACAGTAAATATAAACATTACGTGTACTCGTTCTTTCATTTTTTTTTTTTTTTTTTTTTTTTTGGAATAAGTACGTTGTAATCCTATGGATAAAGGTTTTATCTTTGGAACCAGTTCCATCAATATTATTATTTATTGTTGATTCCCATCATATCCACTAAACTAAATGTCCCTCTTCTTTTTACTCACCAGCTTGAAGAAAATGGATTCAACCCCAAAATTTTCAGCTACGTGGAAAAACATTAGCAGTATAGGAGATTGATAAATCTTGCTCAAACGTGTTAACTACTTGAATATGCCCAAAAACCCAAGCATGATTAGGATCGCAACAGAAGTTCCATGACCATGAGAAGAATATAGTCGAGTTAGGGTCCTCTATTCATGTATAAAACTAGTTCATCTTTATTTTGCATCATGATCCGTGAGCGTAGTTATGTTATCTTCCTTTTAGGAATGGGGAATGTAAATATACCTTGGTTTGCTTTTGCGCACTCGACAGCTAAATCAATAGCTGATTTCTTGTACCCGACTACTACAACCTTTTTGTCCTTGAGTAATTGCACGGAGTTTTCTTCATCCAGTTTGCAGTAATCAAGGGAATGCAAGACTTGTCCTTTGAACACTTCAGGGCCCTTGTTGTGTGGGAACTGGGGTATTATTGGGACGTCACCGTATTTCCCAGTGCAAATCACCAACAATTCAAAGGCATACCACTGAAAGTAATTACATTGATAAAGTTAATAAAAAGAGCTGATCAAGAGAGAATGATTAGAACTAACCAGACAATAGTAGGATTAGTTTCGAAAATGTTTTTTTTTTTTTTCATTCTTTATAAAGAGAAATAGAAGCCCTTAGCATCCTTTGGAAACCGTAGCCATGCAAGCTCTTTATGTAATGCTTCCCCAGGAATTTTTTTTTGATTTATCAGGTGATCCAATATATTATACAGAGTGTACGTAATATATAACCTTCTTGTTTATCACAATTTGAGGAAAAAAAATGGTCCAGCAAGACATATTCCAGTTCGTGCTGCATCTCTTTCAAACGTACAATTATTGGTACTAAACAGTTCTGTGGCAATAATATCACTTACGCCATCTAGATGAAAGAATGAGGCACACACAAAAAAAAAGAAGAAGAAAAAGATCTCTAGTTGGTTATTTTCCTGTTAGAAGTCCAAATAACCAGATCTATATAGTTATAAAATTTCAAAAATAACCTTAGAAATCACGATGAATCAACAGATGAAGCTTATATTCTGAATGATGAAATAAAACGTTAGTGTGAGATTTAAATTTAAAAAAATCAGGTTTTTTCTTTTTTTTCCTGTGGTTTGATGAAGATGATTTGTGAGCAGTGTAAGGAAAACAACCTCAACTGTGTCAGATTCGCTAGTCTGGACAGCAACCTCCCAGACGGGCTGGCCATTGAGCAAATTTCCATAGCCGTTAGAGTTAACCTGATCATCAGGATCATTGGCATGATTACCAACAAACCTGATTTCCACCACCTTGGAGCTGAATTTGATGAGTTCCACCACCCCAAAATGGGTAGCATAAGAGTGCAAGTATTCCAATACTTGGATCGTATTTTCGGAGCTGTTTGGCAGCAGCTATGCCGCTTATTCCAGCCCCTACGATTCCAATTTTGGAGAAGATGGCCATTGCTACCAGGGAACGAAATGGTGGGAAGGCGCTAGCTCGAGACTAGAAAGTGAAGGGAGTTTTGGGGTGTGTATGTATTCAAAGGCTTAGTATATAATGTCTAGGATAGGATGATTAGCTAGGAACGATGGTTTTGTGAACGTAGAGAAGATTTGGAGGGGTATTTATAGGGGGCTTTTGCATGAAAAATGAGAACGAGAAGGTCATGTTGGGGGCACGTGAGCGGACTTCAGACTTTCCGGACTTGGAGAAAATTAAGAAATATTTGTTTCTTTCTTTCTTTTCTCGCCCTTCACACAGACACAGACAAGATTACAAGTGAAGACCGTGTCTTTTGTACAAAATAAATACATATGTACATTAATTCTTGCATTATAGTAATATATTAGTAAGTTAGTAAGGAAATTTCGTCCAAACCAGCGGTTTGGTTGGGTTTCTAACCGGTGGTTGGTTGTTGAGCTTAAACAATTTCTGTGTGCCAACTTCGATTTTTGTTCACTGTACGATCCTTAGATTCATCATATCAACTCCTCAATGCCTCATATTTTCCGAACATTAGAATAATTCCTCGTATATCTCTATTGAAACACATTTGAGCTCCCTAATAATAACGTTAATTAGAACAGGTCAACAGCTGACCATGAACTTGTTACTATAAACGAACGATTCATAAAAAAATAATTCGTGAAATCGGGTCCACTCGATCGGCTTCGTTGATCTCATTATGCGGTCCACAAGAATCCGATTCTTCAAGAGCGCTGGTGGTGGTATATAATTTTGTTATGAGATGGAAAATGCAGAGCAAATGAGACGACGGATCGAGCTTCATGTTGTTGATGAAATCGTAGGCCAATTCGATCTGGACTGGTTATTTTTTGACCGTGAGGAGTTGGTTTTAGTTTGATTACATTACATGTGTTTTGACCGAGAAGTTTCTTCCATTATAAATTACGTTCAACATATATACATATACATATTATCCCTTGGACACCTCCCTTGTCTCTTAAATTTGTAGAAAAATGTTTACGGGAATAAGCAACTGCACTTCTGACTATATATATATTTTTTTTTTTTTTAGGTGGGTTGGGGGGGCAAACAACAAAATCTCAGCACACATCACAGACGCACGGAGACAAATGTGTGTCTGCGGGAGATCAGTACGTACCGTGAATATGTGATCTATCGTTCTCAAATCTAAGAAGTGAAGAATTGCCTTCTCACTTTCTGCAGCCCATTTGATTAAATGGAAACGTCCCAGAAAAGAAGAAGAAGGAACATGGGGAATGGACGACGCCATGGAAATCAAACACAGACATTCAGATCAATAGAAATTTGAAGAGTGCACGCCTCTTGTAATGTAACGGGAATTCCATCTTCCACAAAACCATGACCATCTTTAGCTCAGATTCCATTATTTTCTCCAGTTTGAAGATTCATTCTTTCTTGACTCCATTATTAATCAGCACCACCGATTTTACGGTATACATATTTTCTATAAAAGCTATGCCTTATCTAGGAAATTGATTCGACCGAGTAGCCTACCTACCCGAAACAAAAAGAAAGAAAAGGGAATGCAACGCTATTTTCCACTCTTGCATGGCATGCGGGCGGCTCCGGGAGATATACTTGCTTGGAAATTGGAATGTCCCCGCACATAACTTTCAAAAATAGACACCTATGCAGCTGAATATGTTGGATTTAGACTTGGCTATATACGATAGATAGTAGTACAAATTCTGTAATTCTTCAAGTTTACAAACTCACATATATGAATCTTTCATGCTACGCTGATATCAAATAATTGGATGAACAAAACAGTTTCTGTGATCCATAAAAGATATCCCAAATGGCCTATGAATGCATAAATGTTCAGTACTTCAAAATTTTTCTAATTTTTATATTATCTTCATGCTTTATTGATCAAGGAACCTTCAATCTATCTTCAGTCCAAGCTGTAAGAATACGTTAATACGTAGTTCAAACCGACCTTTTCCTCCTGCATTCGTTTTTCTTTTCTACAAAAAAAAAAAAGAAAAAAAGAAGGTCATCCAAGCCTCCAAGGTGCTAGTGGTAATTCACAAAACTCTAGAAATCACTTTTTTGTGAATCACGTGACGTCAAAGATTAGGAAGTCGTTTTCAATATTCAATATTCAAAACAGCTGTCTCTCTTTTAATTTTTTCCTAGCTATTCCCGAATGGTAAACGTATAGTTTATTTTACTTGCCATCTGACCCCCCCCTTTTTTTTTTCCTTGAAGGAGTGGTAATAAAAGTGTAAGTTTGACTGTAATGTCAGGTTATCCGCTCCAGAAATCGTGATTCTCACGATCTGTAGACCACAGTAGTAAATTGATTTGTATATGACTGCTGTTTATGTATTTTGTCAAATTCTACAGAATGTTCACCACTTAATTAATAGTTAATACCAAGGTTGTGGCGGTTTTCTTGATTTAACTCACTTGTAATATGAGAGGTCAGGCACTAGGATTCTTAGCCCCCCCCCCCCCAAAAAAAACAATAATAAGAGGCCAGACATGGAGATTTTTAGTTAGTTTGGGAAGAAAATATTTAGAGGGAGACCAAAAAACAAACTTAACTGGAAGAAGTTTGAATCACTTGAAGAAATTAGCACCATACCGTATTCATTATTATTTGTTTATGTACCCGAATTGTACGCCTTTTTTGGATTTGAAGTGAAATTGAAGCCATGTTTGTATTCAGCAAGTTAATGGATGAGTGAAATTTCTGAACTAGTTGAGCATTGGGAAGATCATTACGCATAACCATACATTCTACTCCCTCCGTCCCACTTTGATAGTTCTGTTTTCCTTTTTCATCTGTCCCAAATTGTAGTCCACTTTCCAATTGAAGAATGTAGTTGTATTTTAATTTTTCTAAAATACCGTTATTCAATGTAAGTTGTTGTTACTATAAACCTACTCCATTTAATGAGAGTTGATTCTTTTTTTACTATCAATTCAAGTTCCCATAAAGTTATACTCTAATTAATGTGATGGTATTTTAGGAAAATAACTACCTAAATTGATTGTTCCAACAAAATTAACTACTTTTTTTTAAACTGTGTGGAAAAAAAAAAACTAAGACTATCAAAGTGGGACGGAGGGAGTATTTCATATTTTACGCATTGTGTTTCCTCGAGCCTCTCTCTTTTTTTTCCTTCTTTCATCAATTTTTCTGTTTCCAATAGGTTGCTCAGTTCCATAAATATTTCTTGGCTTCTACATTATATATTTCTTAGTTCAAAGAAGGACAATCTAACTAACATCTTGAACTCGAGCGTTGTAATTGGATAAATCAAGCCCTTTTGTCAAACAAATCGAATTGAATCGTGGATTTGACCTTGACTCTGACTCAAATCTAAACACTTGGACTCTGGGGCATAAATCAATTCAAATCAAACGTTACCTGTTCAAGATTTGAAAGTGTCAAAAATCGGCTCTAGGTTTAGCTTATAATGACCGATCTCATTCTTTATTCTCGCATGACATTCGAAGCATTTGAGTCGAAGTTCATCTTCTCTTTTCTGTTTAGCTAATAAATTCAAGAACAAGTATAAAATGGACAATCATCAGTTGCATCATGTTCCCTCGTTGCAAGAAGTTGTGAGTTGTCTGTGGTCAAAGTTCTCTAGTAACTCTATGTATTAGAAATCTACACATTCAATTTTGTGGAGCATACTGAGCAAATTAAGCCGCCTCCTCACTTCTGACTTAACTCACATAAAGAATCAACAATAAAGAAGTAAAAACTCACTTTCTTATGCTTTACTTGTTGGCCGGGCCCAATTCTCTCACTATACACCTCAAGTCATACTTTCTTGTGCTTTCCATTCACATTGAATAAGAATAAATAACCTTTTCTACCTGCCGGGTGCTAGAATAATCGAATTAATATTTTGTATGAAGTCAAAACCTGATTTGGCTGGACAGAAAATTGTGTTGGATGTAGGTTAAACTGGTGTAGTACTGTAGGCTATATGTGCACCTATGCTAATGCATTGAACCGATGTTAGAAGCCAAACGTTGTTCAATTAAGCAAGCAAGGCGCTAGTATTTATTATCATGTTCAATTTGCACCCTTACAGTTTTTGGATTAATTTTTTATACACCGACACTGCATACAATATCACCGTTAAATGGATGATAACTTATTTAAGTTTAAAATTTGAAATCCAAATTTTGCTCGTATGTCATATACCTAATCGCGATAGTGTATACACTGCTAGCTAGCGTATCTAAGATGTATTCAAAATTTTTTAGCTAATTTCCATGTTTCACACCATAAACTCTTATGTTGGATAATTAGCATCTAAAAGATTTTTTTTTTTTAGTTAAATTGCAAATTTTTATTGATAGAGGACTAAAACACATACGAAGTAGCATATACACACGCTATCTATACATCAATGAGTCTCTACAATTATTCACAACCCAAAATTCAATACAGCTCATCAAACTGTATCAAAACGCTTATGAAAAATACCCCACGACGCACTCAACAATCAGCGACCAATTCTCCTGAATCTTTGGCGCACATCATTTCATGAGGCTCCAATATACCGGATGGTATCAACCAACGTTGCTTCACTTGCATGTATCACGAAAACATCTGCTCTGCTTGCATGTATCACGAAAGCCGGAAAAACAGTTTTGAAAATTCCTGCCTGTAATAGATGAATGGTTCTTTTGGAAAAGAAGAATTAAAAAAAATATATATATATATATGAACATAAAAGGGAAGGCATCGAACGGCATCCATTATTCAAAGTTTGCTATGGATGTCTAGCTTGCAATTTGCACGAGAGCAGGACTGCCGTCCTTTTCAAGGGTATTTTAAGAGATACACACATTGCTTGGACCTTCACAATTTTCACATTGAGTAAATAAATCGTCTGGAAATTTCGAGGTAAAGCGAAGAATCACAACCAGCTTCAATTTTTTAATACTTTCTTAAGTAGACTATGGTGATCAAAACTGGA